AAATTAGGGAAGAACGCCGATGATGTTGGCATCATTCCCGGCGAGCCAATAACACGAGAGAAGGCAGCGGCAGAGCGTGGTGTAGAGAGCTCTGGCTGAGCGGTCATCCTGGTAGGGATTGAGGAGGTTGCCGGCGCCATAGAGGAAGAAACTGCAGCGGCAGCCGAGCTCATGGCTGAGGAAGCCATGGCTGCGGTACTGGAGTCGTCCGAAGATGAGGAAGAGCTCATATCGGCGGAAGTCGTGAGTTGAGAAAAAAAAAATTAGGTCTGGGCTCTTGATACCATGTGAAATAATGGGAAAGAGGTACTCCAATAGGAGTCCTGGCAGGTATATTTATATTAAATAAGAGTTACCAAAACAGACAAGGATTCCTCATTTATATTAACTATTACTTTCAACCCCACGCCAGGAGAGACCCACGCACAGAGAGAGCATATAAGGTCCTCCGTATAGTTTTGTGATACAGTCAAAATGACTCAAATTCAGAGAGTTTGATTTGTGTCAGAAAATCTCCAACATATTGCTAAATTGAAAAATTCTAAAGTTATCCCACTTTGTACTCTCTATTTTTATGAATCAATTATTTTGTTGGGTTAAGATTTTGTGAGCCACTCAATGAGTGAGATACAAATGGGGTACCCCAAAATGGGGTACCTATAGCATTTCTGTGCTAAATTTTACACACTAATTTTTGGGAATTCCTTCAATCAATTGCTAATTTTTATTTATCTATTTATTCTTCATATTGGCAAATCATTTGTCTACATTTTATCTATGTTCCGGTGGACGTAGCTCAACTGATAGCGAGGGAGTGCCACAAGGATTAAGGATTAGGTCACGGGTTCGACTCCCGGCAACTGCGATGAGAGGTTGTTCAACAGAGGGCCTCTGCAAGTACCGGAGATGGAGCCTCACTCTCTATCTGTCAGATTGTGATTATAGTCCAATTTACATCCTCTCATCGTGTCGTTCGGACGTGTTGGGGGCCCTCAGGAATGGAGTGTCATCTTTGTTGTTGCTATTATCTTCTGTTTCTATCCAGATTTTCCATCATTATTTTTTGTTTGAGAATATGATGAAATGAATGAAAATGATTCACTAAATTATCTTTATTTCTTTGTTATGAAGCAAAAATCAATTCATTCCATTTGTGACGTGATTTAACCATGGGTCGTCCAGAAGGAGTCTTTCTAGACTTTAGTACAAAATTAAGACAGCGTACATCCGACTCCTTCTTACCCCACGTAATTAAGTGAGAGCCTTTGCGGTAATGGGGTGATGATGATGATGATGTGACTATTTCCATCAAGAGTCTTGAACATTTACATTACTTTATAGGGTTGAGATTTCTTACATGTTTATAATCTCTTCCAACATAAATATACTTCTTCAAAGTTATAGGATTACCAAAGCTAACTTAGGGCTTGTTTACTTTTGACTTAATGGACTTAATAACAATGACGATTTAACCATTCAGCCATTAAGTCATCTTTACTTATGCCTTAATTGGAAACATGACTTAATCATTCAATAAAAAAACTGACTTAATCATTAAGCTGGATGATAGCAGCCCTTCTCACTAGAACATCTACTAAGGCATTTTTTGGCCAACTTTTTCAAATTGATTGTGGAATAGATTTATATCAATAAATGGAGTTTTTCTTTGACATTATAATCTACGAATAATATTAAATCGATTATTTTACTAGATTCAGAGTGTTTATTCAACATACAAAATAAATAGAGCATTTATACAAATATTATTTAAGTCGGACATACATCTTAACCTAGACAGGCGTCTTAATGTAGACAGAAATTGATAGAAAAAGTAAACAACCCTTTATGCTCTTATCATATGGATCAACGTCTAAAAGCCTCTTTTGGGAAATGGAGCATATTTCATATTCTAGGAAGTGTAGTTTTATAGGTCACTAGTTTGTCTTACAGTAGTATGCCAAATGTTGCCTTTCAATGAAATATTAAGCTAATTCATGAAAAAATATCACTCCATATCATGACAAAATCTTTATAAATAATTTATTACATATCTCGCGATTACTACGTTGAACATCGTCTCTTATTGAATTTATTACTTACTTCAATTCATGCACACCACGTGAAAATTAGCCAGATCTTTCAACATCACGCAAAATTACTCATAATCTCCCAACGAGGATGAAGCCAATGCAACAAAATTGAAATTTACACTCTCTGTATACTTATACACCTATGTGTGAGATAAATATCAAGTTTTCATATACAATGGCAAAACTTAATTTTTAAAGTTTCGATATATAATAAAATTACATGTATAATACGACATATATGATATCATGCCAATTGAGCTAATACAATAATATCGTTTAGACATTGTACTTATGAATTATGACAATTCAAGTATCTTTATATACTAAAATCTATAAGATTTAAATGCATTTCAATAAACTCAATAAGTCCAGTAAAATAGTGGAAATTAATCAAATCACCATAAGTATAGTTCCGAAACTGAATCTATGAAATTAAGAGTAATCCACTATACCCCTTTCATATTTAAACATTTTTCGCATAAGCACTAACGTCCTTTTGGGTATGTACTCAAACACTCACGATATTTTCACGTTGGATAAGTTTAACACTGCTGATCCATCTTCTTTGGATACTTGTTTTTATGATATCTCTTTCATGCTTTTTCGTCACTCTCATGCTTCTTACATCTTTTTGCTACAATATTCTAAACTAAAGCTTCAAACATTTAAATAGAGTAAATGTATGTCTTTACATTAGAGGAAGCGGTCTAGCTCAGCTGGTCGCCGACTGACTCTCTCTTGTGAGAGGTCGCAGGTTCAATTCTCAATGGAGTGAGATTGAGTCCAGTTTACCCCAGGCCCCCAAACCCCCCCCTCCCCCGACGCCCCTTGGGGTAAAAATTAAGGAAAAAATGAAAAAAAAAGTCTGTCTTTATATTCCCTCCGTCCCAATTTGTTTTGCAAAGTCAACATTTTTTGGTCAATCAATAATAAAAGTCAATCATCCCTATTGATAATTAATTGAATTTTTAATAATTAAAATTTACATATTCATAAACTACATTAAAAAATCTTCAAAACTGTAAACTCCAAAATAGAATATAATTACAAATTGACATCTTAATCAAGCGAACAAAACGAAACTATTTGATCAAGAAAAGTCAAATTTGCAAATCATTTTGGGACAGAGGTAGTATTGATTTTCATAAACTGCCAATTAACAATAGTTGATTATTATACAATTTTATATTTAGTACATTAAAACTCAGGTAAGATGCGTCGTTATTTCGATATTATTATGTTTAAGATAATTTTAATTAAATTGAAATGTTCTAATCCGATATAGTATGATTTGTGAAAGTTTAATATGCTCTAAAGTGGTCTGAGTTGTTATGATAAATGCTGAAGTTTAATCTAGCCTGATATGGTCTAGTGTGGCAATAAAACCGCTCCATTAAAAATATCTTTAGTGTTGTTAAGTATACCAAAAATTTAACAGACATGCCTCCCACATTTTGTCGATATTAATGGTAGTTAATTTCACTTTAAAAAAATACAAAAGTTGTTTGTGGCATAGACATATAACTTCGCAAAAATGTTATCTCTCTTTCAGAAAGCATGGATAAACATTGAAGTGTCCAGGTGAAAAATACAGAAATACTTCTATGTGTTCTAAATTGTACCTATAAATAGTTTTTGAAAAGGTAAACTTGATGAACTTGTGTTTTTTTATTTTACTCCTACAAGAAAAAGGGAAGTGGAATCAATTTTGAGCAAGCACATGACTTCTTAATTTTTTTATGATAACATTTTTTTGAACAACTGGCTTAACTTATCATAACCAAACAGATCACCCAAACCAACTAAAATGTGTTCGGTTTATCGAATATTTACATGAAAAAACTACTTATACACGAAACGTGTATAGCTCGTTCACAATGTACGATGTACCTGTGTACACAAACAACTAAGAGTGTGTATACAAATGGTGTACATATTTCGTCTCCAACTAAGACTGTTTTTACTTAGACTGTAATTTGCTAGTTTGGTCAGGTTTGATCTTGTCTGGTCTGATATGGTTTGATTTCTTTGTATTTTTATAATTATCAAGGTCTGATCTGATATGGCCTGGGACAAATTACGGTACATCTTGACAATATTTAGGTACCGTTAGATGTGAAGTGAAATGTTCTAACAAAAAATCTTTTTGTACACGTTTTTATACACATCAGTACACCTTCGTGTTTGTGAGAGTTTTTTTTATCTGTGAATTCCAATGACAGATAAAAACTGACTTGTTTTGTCTGTAGAATTTTCCACAGACAAAAAAAAGCCAATTTTATCCGCGAACTCGGATTCACGGATAAAAAAAATTTCTCACGACACGAAGGTGTACTAGTGTGTATAAGAAAGTTACTACCATATTTTTCCAGGGAAAAGGTGCAAATAGGCCCATGTACTAACCAAAAAAGGTCAAATAAACCCTTATTTAGGAAGTTCTGTCCGTCCGTCGTCATTTAGGGTGGTTCCCGGTGGAATTTTTTGATGAAATTTTTTGAGCATCTTATTCATCAAGTCTAGTTTGCTCATACCAAATTTCAGCTAAAACTTCAATCGGGAAGGCATTCAAATGAATTCTTGAAGATAACTGCGCTTCTAACTGCCCAGTTATTTTCAAGAATTCATTTGAATGCCTTCCCGATTGAAGTTTTAGCTGAAATTTGGTATGAGTAAACTAGACTTAATAAATAAGATGCTCAAAAAATTTCATCAAAAAATTCCACCGGGAACCACTCCAAATGGCGATGGCCAGACAAAGTCTTCTAAATAAGGGCTTATTTGACCTTTTTTGGTTAGTACATGGGCCTATTTGCACTCATTCCCTATTTTTCCATGTTCTAATGTTATCCGAAATCCCGTACCCAACTCCACCTAATTTAATGCGCCGCAGGATGGAAATGGAGGGAGGATTTCCACTCCCACAGTCCTCTTGCCTTTGTCCTCTGACGACTCTCGTGTCCACACTGTCGGCAGTGATCGCGATCCGGCTAAAGGCCCATCCTACCCCACCCCATTCCACTTTGCCACTCTCTTGTCTTTTTAAGTTCGTCAACAAGTCACAGCAGATCTTGAACTCTGCAGAGAAGGAGCTTCAAGCTCTTATACCAACTTCAAGCTCTTGCAAGTAAAGGGCATTTTCTGAACATTGCTTAAATATTTTATTGAAGGTAACATTGTTCAATTATAAGTTGCTTTATGCGGGGTGCTTGTTACTATCCTTGTTTGATCACGGGATAGTGTTGTTTTTCTTCCCTTTTCTCAATTCAGCAATCATCATCCTTCCATAGATTTAGCACTTAAATGATTTAAGATCTTGAAGATTATATGCTTGAAAAACTAAGTGAAGTTTGGGTTAGCGTCGCGATCGGATCTTCGTGTCAGTGTTAGAGATTTGTCATACACTCACGCAGTCAAGTGTAGCAAAGGAGGTGGAATAGGATCATTGTTTAAGTTTATTCGCTTTTAATTTTCTTAGTGCAGTTGGTTTTGTTTTACCGTTCTTGCTGCTTATGGGCTTATTGTCTATATAGATTTGCTTTATCCGCTCAACATAAGCCAACTGATGTTTGATTTCTTTCTATGGATGAAAGGGTTTCCTCTTAGGATGTTTTTACTTGGACTGTAATTTGTCCCAGACCATTCCAGACCAGACCAGTTCAGACCAGACCAGACCACACCAGACTTGGATAGTTATAAAAATACAAAGAAACCAGACCTTACCAGACCAGATCAGACCAGACCAGCAAATTACAGTCCAAAGTAAAAACATCCATAGAAAGAAATCAAACATCAGTTGGCTTAAAGAAGTTAAAGAACTAGATTTAGCTTAAAGAATGCTGCTTTTGATCCTTTGATCCAATATCATGCGGAAGATGTTTGTTAGCCATATTTGAGCCAAACAGGAAATGATATCTGAATTACTAGATATTAGGTATCTGTTCTCTTGAAAAGCAGGACCATTTTGATTCTTGTATAGATAGTATACCTCCTGCTTTCTTAATCTTTGTATTTCTCAGCTCTGGTCTTAACATTAGTAACCCGTTTTCAAAGATTAATAATATTTCTTTTTTTAAAAGGTCGAAGCTTTTGATACTCTGCTGGTTGACGGAAGCTAATAAAATGGCTTCAGGAAGCATCTCCCAAGGAATCAGAGGGAGGGCATCCAAATGTTTTTCAACAGTTACTACTATGACTCTGCTTGGATTCTGTTTGATTGGGATTTGGATGTTGATGTCATCTTATAATATTCCTCTACAGAACATTGAGCTCTCTTCTGCAGAGAACAGGAATGAGGTCAAAACGAGAGTAACCAGAAGTGTTAAAGGACGATTTGCACTCAGTTTAGATGATTCACAAACAGATGTGGGGATTGATGGGACAGAAACTTCTGAGGCTGAGATTAATAACGATTCTGAGTCCAGCTCAACTCACAGTGATGAAGACAGTCAAGAGACCAGCTCAAATGATGAAGAGACAAGCCAAGTGGGTGAAGATTTAAATAATGATGCCCAAAAGTCGAATTCTGATGATTCAGATCAAGCAGAGGAAAGTCTCCAAAGAAATACAAATGAGTCAGAGGACAATACTGGAGAGAACACAGGGAATTCTGAGCTTACAGATCAAACAGTGCACACAGAGGGAAGTGATGAAAAATCAGATCAAGAGGATAAATATAGCACTGAGACTAAGCAAGATGAAGATGCAGATAACCTTGTAACTAACCAGAAAAGAGATGAAGTTTTTCCATCAGGAGATCAGTCTGAGATTTTGAAGGAAACTGTAACTCAAAATGGCCCTTGGTCAACTCAAGCTGCTGAATCCGCAAAGGAGAAAGAATCACAAGAATCTGAACTTTCGGTGGGACATAATGAATATAAGTGGAAGCTGTGTAATACCAGTGCTGGACCAGATTATATCCCCTGCTTAGATAATTTACAAGCTATTCGAAATCTCCCAACCACAATGCACTATGAACATCGTGAGAGGCACTGTCCAGAAGAAGCTCCTTCATGTCTTGTTCCACTTCCTGAAGGATACAAGCAGCCGATTGCATGGCCTAGGAGCAGGGAGCAGGTATACTTCCATGACATGTGTTACTCTGTTATCTTCTCTGATTGCAATATTTTTCATTTTGTGACACTTGGTGTTCTCCCCCCCTCCTTTTCTGTTTTTCTCTATTTAGATATGGTATACTAATGTACCACACACCAAGCTTGCTGAGGTTAAAGGGCATCAAAATTGGGTCAAAGTTAGTGGTGACTATCTTACTTTTCCAGGCGGTGGTACTCAGTTCAAGAACGGAGCTCTACACTACATTGACTTCATCCAAAGCGTTAGTTCTTTTCAAACTCTAAAGGCTTACCCTCATCCAAAGCGTTAGTTCAAGCATGGTTTTGACTAACATGCGGAGCGGTGCAGACTTGCAGTTGCACATATAAAAAAAACCATATGTGGAACTGTGCGAGAAACACGCCCATACTGCACTGCATCACTCTGCGCAGCCTCCCTACTCGTGATGCATTTTTTAATGAAAATCACGAAAATACAATGCACTAACCAAAATTGTTCTTGTGATTATGAACATTTCATTCAGTTATATGGATTGAGCTTTAGATAATTTAAGTAAATGCTTTAGAATGAAGTTTGTTGTCCCTTTTCTTTCTTTTGTACTGCAGTCATAATCACTTTACATTATTGTATTTTATTATACACAATTTCACATAGTACAGTATAGGTCTTACTGATTCATCCATCAAGATCTATACTTCTCAATGCTTTTCCACAAATTCTGGAGATATATGTATCAAAGAACAGCATGACCTGGATAAAAACACATGGCCTGCCTAACACAAGCCGAGAATGCACCAGTTATCTATATCAGAATGTCAATTTTAGGCAGTTTTCTTTCATATTCCTTTGTTCCTTCGCGTTTTCTCAGAAAATAAACTTTTAATCCAATTGTTACAATACTATGATTGTTATTGTGAACATTTGCAACATATTTCAATTGATCTGAAGCACCATATAATAGAGCGGTGGTCGATGATTTAATAATTTATTCCTGGTTCATGTGTTTAAAACTCGATTTCTTTCTGGCAATGCAGGCACTTCAGAGCATTTCATGGGGAAAAAGAACTCGTGTAATTCTGGATGTTGGTTGTGGGGTAGCCAGTTTTGGTGGATACCTTTTCGAGAGAGATGTGCTTGCATTGTCCCTTGCTCCAAAGGACGAGCATGAAGCACAAGTACAGTTTGCGCTAGAAAGAGGCATTCCTGCTATATCAGCAGTTATGGGTACAAAGAGAGTACCGTTCCCCAGTAAGGTGTTTGACGTCGTTCACTGTGCACGCTGTAGAGTTCCATGGCATGTTGAAGGTAAAGCTTTTAGTAGTTCAATTGGGTATCATGTATCATGCAAGTACAAGTGTACAACGATGTAATAGTGGTTGCCGTCTTAATAAATTGCAGGTGGTAAACTTCTATTAGAATTGAACCGTGTCTTGCGGCCTGGCGGTTACTTTGTATGGTCTGCAACTCCAGTATATCGGAAAGGTCCTGAAGATGCTGGCATTTGGAAAGGTGATTTTTAATTACTTGATAATCTTTTCCTAACCACTGGTAAGTTCCAAGTCATGAGTTGACTTCCCATTCTCCTTTTTTTTCTGCAGCTATGTCAGAACTGACAAAGTCAATGTGTTGGGAGCTAGTGGTAGTAAAAGAAGACAAGTTAAATGAAGTAGGGGTAGCTATATTTAGAAAGCCAACTTCAAATGATTGTTATGATAGTAGAACACAAAATGAGCCACCAATGTGCAAAGAGGGTGATGATCCAGATGCTGCATGGTACATTTTGTTAACCATTTACGTACCCAGTACTTCAGTAGTGCTACCTTTTTCTCATTATTCATTTACTTTTCATTTTAGTACATCCCAAAATAATGTTACTTTTCTTGTTAGTTTTTCCCAATTCACCATCTTTTTTAACGTTTTAAAATGATTTGAATATTTGACAATGTTGGACTCACTTGTGGGAGAAAAGTGTGCTGTATTTTACCTGGTTTTTATTAAAATTTGTGCTAAAGAAAGTGCCCTATAATTTGAGTCCTAAGGAGACCACGGTCCATGAGGACACATTTTAATGTGCCAGCACTATCAAATGTGGGAATAAAGTCATGTGGGTCCTATCCTATTAAGTTTTTTGGGCCCATATGAACCCCTATGTTAAGGCACTAATGAAAAACGCAGCATTTCTGGAGTTTTTAAAACCTATTATCATGTATATGTAATTATGTATTGGTAAAAAATTACTTCCCTGCATTGTTCCCTTGCTGGACCCTGTTGAGCTATGCTCAAAATTTTAAGCACTGAATGCAAATTCTGCTAAGCAAAATATGCCAGGCAGAAAACACATCTTCAGTGCTCAGGGTTCATTTGTTACAAAAGTTCTCTGTTTTGAAAGAAAACTTCCTCCAGTACTCCTTCAAATAATATATTTTCTGACACTTATTTAAAGCAATACATTGATAAGTGCCTCTGCTTGAAAATTTGGTCAATTTTTTTTGGCTCAGGGATGTTGAACTCCAGGCATGTTTGCACAAAATTCCTACAGAAGCATCAAGCCGTGGATCGCATTGGCCTGAGGTATGGCCAAAGAGGTTGGAGAAAGCACCTTATTGGTTACAGAGTTCCCAAACTGGAGTTTATGGTAAAGCAGCTCCAGAAGACTTTGCTGCTGACTATGCCCATTGGAAAAATGTTGTGTCACGATCATATCTGAAAGGTTTTGATATTGATTGGTCATCAGTAAGGAATGTCATGGACATGAGAGCTGTGTATGGAGGGTAAGTTATTTGCATTTAGTTAACTTTCATTTTTGCAAGCAAAATTATTTCTATAGTTCCCTGTTTAATTCTTGGATGAGGCAATTGCATTTTCATTGACGATACAAAATGACACTGCAACAGCTAAAGAGAAGTACTAGATGATACTTATCTCTTACATAGTGGCATTTGTCTCTGGGTAGTCTATTCTGTAAGTTTGGTAATCCTATTTGCAACAAGTCCCAATAGCAACTCCATCCATAAAGTAAGATACATCGGATCTGGCACGGTTTTAAAAATTAAAGGTGATAGTTGCAGTGTTGCACTTGTTATTTTACAAGTATATCATTCTAAAAGATAGAAAAAGTAGTATGAGTCCACAAAAAGTAAAAGGTGAATTGATAAATTAAAGGATAAAATGGAAAGGTAAAATTTAGTGGATTTCAAATTAGACAAGTGTTCGCATTTTTTGGGCAGACGAAAAAAGAAATGTACATAATGAAATTGGATGAGGGATACTACCTCTGTTCTTAAATAATTGCAAAATATTGAATTTTACACTATTCACATGTACCTACATTTTATTTATTAATGTATTCAAAATTATTTTTTGAAAAGTATTCTTATATATGCTTCATCATTAATTGTCGCCGTCTGAATTTTTTTAATTTTATTACTAATGGAGAATAAAATATATATCAATGGTCAAAGTGATGCGTTGGCACTCGTGAAAAAGGAAGTGTTGCAATACCATCGACCTTTGCACTTTATTATAAAAAACCAGATTTTGGAAACTAAAAGATATGATTTTCAGTTTTATGGACAATTTAAAAAGTCATATATAAAGTCATGTTACTTTAAAATATATTTTGATCATTTGATGTTATTATATCTACATATGTCATGTTACTTTAAAGTCGTAAACCCAAAAACTTGTGACCACCCCTAACAGGGCCTTATTTTATGGTTCATGTTTCTCTTTTTCTGTTGGTTATTCAACCCACCTTCAACTTGCGACACATTCTGAGAGCATTTTATTTTCTTTCAATGCCAATCTCCAGTGTGGGTAACAAAAGGCACCCATGCTGAAAAATCTTTTGTTCTGGTGGTGTTTGTGCACTTGTGCTGCTGTAGGCTTATCTATTTGGAGCTTGGCTAATGAACCTATAATTTTGTGTTTCGGATCTAACTTCGACTGGTGTGTGTTGGATGTGGGTGCACCACATGTGTGAAGCAAGAGTTAATGACTAGTTAGGATGTAAGGAAAATTGTTTGAAAGAAGTATGAAAGGAGCATATATTTTGGAATACTATGCATGAAAAGATGCTTGGAAAGTTGGTATCTATTTTTCTGCTCGGAAATCCTCGGATTCTATTCCATTTTGGGGCTCGAGGGCTTCAAAGTGGATTGATTAATAATGTGGCAATATCTCTGTTTAAAAATGTCCCCGATGTCCATTGAGATGTTCAGTTTCTTATCGGAGCCCAACATACTGATTTTGTTTCAAACTGGTATTCAATTATAAATTTTTATGAAGCAAGTACACCCAACACAATCTTGTATGATCACCAATGGAAGTCATAGGTGGTTAATGCTGAGCTAACCGTAGGTACATTTTCGATAGTAATTTTTCTCTTCATTACATATTTTGACTTTGATCTTAGCAAGCTCTTAGGCATCCTTATGAAAAACTCTTCATTAATACATCCATATGTGTAATCAAAGACAACTTAATATTTAATAAATTAAGATTTGAAGGTCCTGTGAGGAAAAGTAGAAAGTAACATATAACAGCAAGTGGCGAAAGAAGATAACAAAGAAATTAAAAGACTAATTGATGTGATGATAATATTAGAATATGGTGCCTACTATTTATAGGCTCCTGGATAATCTATAGGTGGATGAAAGATATATGAAAAGTCTCAACATGTTTATTATTACATATCTGTATTTAAAACTCACTTTAAGTTGATTGTATAATTCTGGTCTCCCTCTCTCTCTTTCTCTCTGCATCATGCAGATTTGCTGCAGCACTCAAAGAATTGCAAATCTGGGTCATGAACATTGTTCCGATAGATTCGCCTGACACACTTCCTGTAATATATGAGCGTGGGTTGTTTGGGATGTATCACGACTGGTGCGAATCATTTAGCACATACCCCAGATCATATGATCTTCTTCATGCTGATCATCTTTTTTCTAAGATCAAGCAAAGGTCAGTTCTTTTTTCCATTACTGCCATCTAGCATTGCTGTGAACCTATCGCACAGTTAAGAGAGTGGCTTTTGAATCCTGACACTCTTATGGAAAACAGATGCAGCATTGCAGCCGTGATTGCAGAAGCTGACCGGATTTTGAGGCCAAAAGGAAAATTAATTGTCCGAGACAATTCTAAAATGATTCTTGAACTGGAGAAAATTGCCAGATCGCTACATTGGAAAGTGAAATTTACTTTCTCCAAGGACGGTGAAGGATTATTGTGTGTGGAAAAGACATTTTGGCGTCCAACACGAACAGAAACTTTACAGTCAGCCTTCGCATAGTCGCTGCTTGCGTATGCTGCATTTCCAGATTCACCAGTTTATTTCTTAGTCATACATATGATAAAGTTCATTATAAAATCACTAGCTAGCTAGTCTACAACCTGGTCGGGGGATGAGGGTTGTGCTCAACTCAATGCGGTCTATGATATTTACTAATGGTTCCACAATATATATTGTATGTATCCAAGGTAAGACAATAAGAATGTTATTAAGTTTGATTCGTTTTTTATTATTATCGAGAATTGCAGAAACCAAATTTCCACAAGCATAAATGCCAATCACATTTTCCATTAGTTTGAAGGAGATCGCGCAGTATGTGCTAAAGGTAAAAGGAGGACAGATTTCCGCCCCTCCTAATAATTCCTCACCCCTTCCATAATAATCCAATTCTAAATTCTGTCATTAGTGATTTAAGCAGGGGTGGACTCGGGCCGGGCGGCCCGGCCCGGAACCGGCCCGGTTACTGTTTGGCCCGGCCCGGCCCGGGGCCCGGTGGGTCCACCGGTTCGGTTCGGCCCGGTTTGGGCCCGGTTCGGGCCGGTTTTTAATTTTTTTTTTGATTTTTTTTAAGTTTTGGGTTGGATGAAGTATTTTGGGCCATTTGAGGTGGTTTGGGGTGGTTGGGGTTGAGGGGGAGGGGTTGGGGGTTAAATAGAAGAGCCAAAAAAAAAAAAATAGAACCGGTAGACCCGGCCCGGCCCGGTTTGGCCCGGAACCGGGACCGGAACCGCCCACCGGCGGTTCGGGCTCGGGCCCAACTTTCCTGGCCCGAGGCCCGGCCGGGCCCAGGCCCGAACCGGGCCCGAACCGGCCCGAGTCCACCCCTAGATTTAAGTAGACCATTTCAAAAGAGAGAAAAAACTGTCCATGGTTTCAATGTGAAGGCATTCGATTGTAGTTTATGTTGCCAAATTTTGTGACTCATTTGTCTTTTATAGTTCTCTTACTCATGGACTGATGGTATACTCACCCATCGAGATGCTATTCAGTATTCACAAATTAAAGCGCCATTCTTGTCCGGAATTTCCTGACAGGAATGCTGTCCGGCCTCAACCTTTTGGGGCGGTTCCTAGTGGTATTTTTACTGAAATTTTTTGTGTGTATTCTTCACCAAGTCTAGTTTATTCATACCAAATTTCAGCTAAAAATTTGGCAGTCAAATGATTTTTGGCAGTTAACTGCGCCCTTTATATACATATAAAACGCAGTTATCTTTCAAAAATCATTTGACTTCTTTCCGATTGAATTTTTAGCTGAAATTTGGTATGGATAAACTAGATTTGATGAAAAACACACAAACAAAATTCAGCAAAAAATACCACCGGGAATCGCCCCAAACGGCGGAGGCTAGACGGGGCTCCTATTCGGACCGGTCGGACATGAATAATCCTCTCACAAATTATACATGAATATATTCAAGTCTGCATGCAAAAGATCTTTCATTTCTTACCTACTCTCAATAATTTAATTTATAAATAATTTTCACTTTTGAGTTGTTATTGAAACTGAATTTTAACTCTTTTAATAATAATTAGATTCACAAAATGACAGATTAAAGACTAAGAAATTGCCTCATTTAAGAGTAAAAAATTATCCAAATTCTATACTATGAGTATAGAATTAAATATATTAAAGGGAAACAAATTTATCCCTTATATACTTCTTCAACAAATTTAAAAGTTTCCCCCCCAAAAGGCAAACAACAAAAATGTGGAATAAATGTTGGGAGTCATTTATCTAATTTTATTAATCCAAAAGGAGCTTTGTTAGTTTATTTGCGTATAATTCACGGATAATACACCGAAATGCATCATTCACGTATAATATTTTCGTCCATGAGTTTTTCAGAAAGTTTACAAAAATTCACGTACTTTAATAATAAAATGTATAATACACGTATCGTATGTATTGATACATATTTTTTTAAAAATACACACCAATAAACTGAAGCCTAATGGAGTGGTATAACTGAAACGAAATGTCTAGCTACTCAATACTCCGTACTATTTATAATGCTTAAAAAATTATAATGCCTTAAATAGGCAATGTCATTTTTATTTATGAGTTCATTGATTTTCTTATTCATTAATTTACTAAATTTACAGAACTTAATTTTATTCATTTTTTTAATTATCAATGTTATCATTTAAGAAGAGTTTTAGCATTGATTTAGTTCAAATTTTATATTGAGTTTTTGCTTTTTGCACTATTACTTCTTTTTAAGTTCTATAAACTTGATTCTATTTGTAGATATTAAAAATTATTGGGCCAAGTCATGATGGTCAATAATCTCTTACAATGCTATTGGGCTATTTCGACTTTATTGGGTCTCTGTTGAATTTATTGAGCCAATGTCGGATTCTACTGGACTGCTCGTATCGGTTGTTGGGCCTTATCACAGCCCCTAAATTACTTCAAATATCTAATTTGCCCTTATAACAAAGTGATCACTTTTCTTTGCCTCTAACCACCTTCCGGCCTCCTCATCAAGCTGTCCCGCCTTCGTATGTGCTTCTTTGGCCTTGAGAGTATGCAATTTTTGGTAAATGTAGTAGCCACATCAAAACCAGGTCATATTCCAACAAATGGAGGTTCCCTTCATTACGGACCAAGAGATGAAATCAACAATCAATCCTTAATTGGACCCGAGGGCTTCTGTTGGTGTGACTCAATGGCACGGGAAAGAGAGTAACAAGCGAAAAGGGCGATGAAGAACGAGACGTGAAAATTATAAAACAAGGGTATAATGGAAATTTTAAAATTATAGAGCTGTATCTAGTAATTAATGGGCTGCAAATAGAATATCCCAAGGAAAATATTAATATGGATCCATTCAAATATAATTAATTTGGGGATTAAACTAATTCAGATCACTTAAATGTCCAATAATTTTATTTATAAATTAAATCCTTAAAAGTATGGACCGATCCTATTAATTTCTCTATTTTGAGCCCATTATCAAATAGCGGCTCAATATATAAGAGACATGATCCAATTGATAAAGAGGGAAACAAATCTGGTTAAGAAATCCTTTCATATGCATGAAAAATAGCTATGAACCTTGTTAAAAAAGCTATCCGGATACATTACATTAGTGTTGATTTTTCTAGCTATTAAAATGCAAGCGAATAGAGCTCAAAACTCATTTTAATTAAGGCCCAAGGCATATGGACGAATTTTGGAACCCCAAAGCATATCTCACCTATAAATAGGGGTCTCAGTTGAGAGGGATGGGGAGAGAACTTCCAATCGAAGAAACGCTGCAAAAAAGATTTGAAGAACTCCCGAGAGGCTCTGAACGATTCCGAAGAAGAGGAAAAGATCAAGCCACAATTTTTATTAAGAATATATGAATTAGTACAATTATGAAAATATTAAGAAAGCTTCTCCAACAAGTTTGGGTTGAAAACGTCTTTGAATACTACTCATTGTCGCCTCGGTAACTAAGTCACTTGAAATATTTAGTTTTGCCATTCATTTCGTTCTGAACTTCTAATCAAAGCTTTTTTGGATGTCTAAGAGTCCCTCTTTGAGATCTGTGATGAATGCCTGATACTCTTCTTTTGAGTTTGCAACGGAGGCTCAGAGAAAACATCATAGGCATCTGCAAATTCCTTTTGTGCACTACTATTTTTTCCCCATTGCTCAAAGCTGTGAGAGGCCTCCGATCGAGTAAATTTGTCAATGTCATTTTGAAACAGAACACCAGATATAGAGATATCTCTTACACTAGAGCTTTGCCAGGGTGATATGTATAAATCCCTATCTAACGCCAACAATTTTGCATTTTCTTGAATCACTTTCATCAAGATCATCTCATATTTCCCCATCAGATTAATAGCGCTCGTGATGCTTGTCAGAAAACCTCTAATTCCAGATTCATTTTGGCCCTCAGGTATAATTTTAGAATCATGTCCTTTTTTGATGATACGATAAGAGCCCCCAAAAAATGTTATCACTTCACAAATTTAAAAGTATAACTCTTATTAGTACATTTGTATAAATTTAAATGTGGTTATTAACACATTGAGTACTTGTCGAATAATTTGAGCACGAGTTTATTACTGAATCACCTTAAACTTTACATTCGAGCATGTTTATCGAGCTTATCGAGTGCTCGATTCGAGCATCAGATGGCTATCGAGCATAACACGAGCCTCATTTGTAAACTCGTCAATCTTCGAGCTCGAACCGGAACACCACTATTACCGAATGAAGCTGAACTCGAGCTCTGGGTGTCTCAACTTGGCTCAACTCGTTAATAGCCCTAATTCCACATAATAGTTCACGCAGACAGCTATAATTTCTATATTTTACAAGCACATATTAGAGCAATGGATTATAAGACTCCAAGATTTAAAGTGGATGTGTCAGTCTCAGCTCATGTTAGGGAAATTATGACAAAGATAGTTGTTCAAATACCCACAATAAATCAAGAAATTTGCTATAGGTACAGCCTGGGTTACACCTAGGATACACCCTATATAACCTCCCCCATTTTTTCTCTCCCCTTCCTCCCCTCTTGCATCATATGACCCCCCCTCCCCTCTCCCCCCTTCTTCTTCTTCATCATCTTCTTCTTTTTCTTTCCTTCTCTCTTTTCTTTCTTTTTTACTTTATATTCACCATCATCTTCCACCACCACCACCACCACCACCATCATCATCATCCATCACCATTTTCACCACAAACTCACTGGAAAATTATAACCGCCTGAATTTTTGTTTGTATGGTGCTAAATAATGATAAATATTGTCTATAATGAAAGATGACACTAAAAAACTAGTAATATTCTATAACTTTCGTCATAGACAAAAAATGTATGTACATAGACACTTGTTTTCTTTTAGTGTCTGTGTACACAGACAAAAAATGTTAAAAAAAGTCAGGGTTGGATTGCACTGAAACAAATGTCTATGTACGCAAACAAAATTTGTATATGTACAATCACTTTTGTCTACACAAACAACTAATTCCTGTGTAGACCAACATTGGTTTTAGTCCAACCACCCTGACAGATCTACAAAAAGTTACATCAATCAACAAACCAATTTTTGTTCACATAGACATTTTTGTCGAAAGTGCCTTTATTTGTATAATTTTTGTCCGTGTGAATGGCAAATAAAGAGGATGTAATCTAGGGTGTACACCAAGAATGATTGAGAAATCAATATGTTCACAGGAGTTCTCCACTCTCAAATGTCCCTAAACACAAATAGTGAGAATAAATACAAAATTGAAAAATTCCGAAGTAAAAATGTTTTGAAATTTCAAAATAAAACGATGTTTGTATTCCCTAAATAAGAATAATTATAACTAACTTTGTAAATTATTGTCATGTTTAAAAGTAAATAATGTCACAACTTGACAATAACTACTCCTCTTTAGAAAAGAGAAAATGGTCAAACCTGGTGCTATTTCCAATTCATCATTGAAGTTCTACTAAAAAGTTGATTACGCTTACTTTTCAAATATAATCAATCAAGTCATTTTTAGCTGCTATGACATGTTTTTTTTTATAAATGAATTAAGATCATTGATAAATCTTATAAAAATTCATATGAATTTGAAAAATAGCATAAATGTAAAAACAGATAAATTATTTAAAAATGTTAAAATAAAAATAAAAAATCAGACAAATAATCGAATAAAGAGAAAATATAAAAAATATAAAATAGTAATTGTAATAACCTTTTAAATACACTTTGACATACTGAAAATTTTCATACATATTTCTTCAAATTTTAATAACTTTTGGAGTTTTAAACATAAAAAAGACTGCTATTGCAGGTAAAAAACTAAATAAATGACCAAATTGATAATTTTTTAAAGTTAAGGTACTTATATGATACTTTTTTAGTAAAAGAGCTTAAGTGATGGATTGAAAATAATAGAAAGGCTTATTTGACGCTTTTCTTTAAAAAAAAAATATAGCAATCCTATTTTGGAATTCCCCAACATTTTTACTCATATTCAGGGCATTTTCTTAAACATTACAAAGTAATCATCCACAACAATAATACCCATAATGCTATTACATTCATATGATGAGGCATAGTGATAAAAAATGTGCAATTGTACACCCTCAATAATCATTTAACAATTAAGGATACCCAAATAACATAGTTTCCCCCCAGAAATAATCCGAATTAAAAACATATTTATGTAAATAGGGTTGGGTTAAAAGTATTTATGGAGATACTGGTGTGCCTAATACAGACGGGTCGAGCAGACCTCTAGACAGAACACAAAATAGCCCCCAAAAATCCCTCCAGCGACAACAACGAGGACTAGGGCTACTCCACCCACCAAGATACACCAAATCCATCTTCTTCAACACTCTTTCCTTCAAATTAATGAAATCTCCAATTTGTATCATATTTCAACTTAGGGTTTAGGATTGGTAAATTTCAAGAATTGTAAATTAGGAATTGATTTGTTGTTTAATGTGGATATGTATGAGATGTTGAATTTTAATATTTTGGTTTTATTAAGTGTAATGACATCATATAACTTTTGCTTAAAGTGTGTATATGAAATGTTGAATTATTATGAATGTGTATAAAGATGGCGATGGTGTATATAAAATTGGGCTTAAAGTGTATATATGTAATGTTGAATTTCGGTGTATAAAGTGTATATATTAATGTGTACAGTGTACTCATCAGTTATCACCATGTATTGTTATTAAAATATGGAGCATCCCGCCATCCCTACTCCTCTTCCTTTCGCTTATTTCGACCAAGGCAACAAAAGAAGAGAAATAATCCCTACAAATATCATATCCTCCATTGATGAAGCAAGCCCAAGCAAGGAGAAATCGAAGGAGGAAACTTGATAAGGAAACTTGGGAAGAAAAGCTTGAGAAAAGGAGGTAAGGACCTTATTGGCTTATCATGACTTTTCCTTCTTCCATAAAATCCCACATGACATGTATATCATATGGAAAACTTCTCGGATTGTTCTACATGTTTAGAAGTGTAGAATGAGGGGTTGGAAGGTGATGCTAAGTCCAAGAACGAACTTAGAAGCCAAAGTAACTGGTTCGCCGAAAAATAATTTTTTTGAGGTCATTTGTATTGATATGAGTTTTGGGGATGTTAAAACCTTGTTAGAAACTTGTCTAAGGTGTTCATAGTGATTTCACAAAGTTGAAAGAGTCACCGGCAGTATCGCCGGAGTTCAACAAAGTTCACCGGAGTTCAACCGAAGGGAGTAGAACTTCTTAAAGCTCATTCAAGGTGAGTTGACGACTTAATGTCTTATAACTCTTGGGTTAAGTATGAGATTACCAAAGTAAATGTTATATGTGTTCATAATTGTTGAGTTTAATCCAACACGATATAGTAAATATATGTATAAATGTGTATGAACAAGCTCAGTTTTTACGTGGAAACCTGAAAGGGAGAAAACCACGGGACTTTTTAGGCTAATGTCCAAGCCCTCTCCTCACCATTACATAGTACATTTTGAGCTCCCATTAATGGAGTCTTGTAAGCTAACTAAGAAGGAGGGAGAAGAAGAAGGGATCAGTTGGGGAAGAAGAGAAAAAGATCCCTAAACATGTGGGAAAGCCCCATATTCATAGGGGAAAGGGAGTAGGGTAAAACCTACCCTAATGGGCCGAAATGGGCCCAAAGGCCGAAATAGACCCGATAGGCTGGAAATAGGCCTCGCTGATCGGGCTCCGTACTACGTACAGTCTTGGGCTCCTGAACAGTAACGGACCGAGATAATATATCTCAACAATAATGATGTTTAAAAAAGTTTAAGCATGTGATTAGCGTAGGTGATTAGGCTTATGTGAATTTAACTATAAAGATATGCATGAAAATGATATGAAAATGTTTACAAAAACATATGTGATGTTTTTAAAGGGCCAAAATGGCATATATTAATTGTTGAAGACTTGATACACGTTGTGGTAAAGTTTCGTATTAATCGGAGTCGGTTTGAGTGGTCAACGGAGCGTTGACCGACAACTAGACAAGCAATCGTCGACGCCGGTTTGGGCTATAACCCGCGGCAGTTTGAGTACGGGGCAACCAATTAAATTCTTGATTATGAACAGGCGCCGATTTGGCCCTACTTGATCTGAATTGGTTTATTTACATGATTTTGCATGAATGATTGTGCTTAGGCTATAAGACTTGACTTAGTCTTGATTATTGATTATGATATAGACCATAGTCAGGTAAGGTATATGGTAGATCATCGGTTTGGGTGGAGTACCCAATGACCGGGCGTTGTCCTTAAAACTCGGAATACAATTGGTGGAGTACCCAGAGACTGGTCTGTCCTCAAAACTCACAGATTACGGTTTAGTAATTCAGGACCGGGTGGTGTCCTTAAAATACTTGATTGGACTAGGAGGAGTCCCATAAACTCATAGGTATTTGGGTGGTTGAGATTGTAAATCAAAGACATTGACTATTATTATTTTTCCCAAGTAAACAATGACCTACGGGTTGGGTTTTTTGGCGATCAGGTAAGACCGAATTACTCGATCTAGATACCTAGCTACTTGAAGAGGAAGTGTGTATACTGATATGTATTTCAAGACTTGGGGTGAGAGATATAAGAATATGTATCATTTTATGTTTGGGTCTTATACTTGAAACATTAATTATTCTACATTTAGCCTGATCTCACCAATATTCGCGTACTGACCTCTTCAAGAGCCCCACATTTTTCAGGTCAAAGCTAGAGCTTGATACCTGCACCTTTCAATCGGATGAAGTCACATCAATGAAGACGTGGTTCATGCTTTTTTATTATTTCTAAAACTACAAACACTTGCTCATGGATATTTGAATTACCATAAACTATTTTGGGTTTGCAAGCTCATGTTTTACCATAATGTGGCATGATTTACCGTTGAATATTTTCACTATTCAATGGTTTAAATTTGATGTGATTATGTATATTTACTTACTGAGTATGATATGAAATGTGTTCATGGACGTCTTGTATGATAAAGTGAGGTTTACTTGTGAATGACGTCACTTGATCGTACGACAGACGGTAGTACACATGCTTAGATGCGGTCTGGGACGTGACACCTGATCAATGCGGTCTAGGGCATGACACCACACTTGTAAGAGCAAAGAGAGTTGAAGAAGATGGATTTGGTATATCCTTGGTAGGTGGAGTAGCCCCGATCCTCGACTCCTCGGCCCTCGCTGTCATTGCCTGGAGCTCAATCAATCGCCGACGGGGTTTTTGGGGGGCTATTTTGCGTTCTGACTGGAGGTCTCCTCGACCCATCTGTTTTAAAGGCAAAGTCGCCAAACTGTTTGGTCACTTATAAGTCGTCATCCCGGTTGGCGACTTATAAGTCGTCATCCCGTTTGGCGACTTATAAGTCACCAAACCGTTTGGCGACTTTGACTAACCGAGGTTAGACCCAACAATATATCCGTAAATACTTTTAATTCACATTATTTCGGGGAAAAACTCCATATCAACTGCAATTGTTCTAATTCCTCGCAAAAAAAAAATACTAACTGCATTTTTCCAACACTATTGTGTTCCCTAAATTTTCAAATCAACAATATGACACAATCAAGTAATCAACACTCCGGGTACTACACCAAGTGCCTAGATCAGACAGAGGACATCATTACTGTTGAAGAAAAAAAGCAACACACTAGAAGTAACGAAATAACACCATATATACGCTCAAATATAGTATAACGTACTATTTCTTCATCACATGGTGATGCATTTCAATGCTTCTATGCAAATTCCAGTGGAAGTAGAGAGCCACAATACGCATTATGCTAGCTGCCAACACCTCTACAAAGGCCATGAGGAATGACCTTTGAGGAGACATACCAGCGGTGGCTATGGATAGTGCAAACCCCTTTAGGTTGCACGGAACAAAAAAACTTCCAGATTGAATGCCATCCAAAGCTTTCTTGGCAACTTCCTCAGCTTTCATTTTACTAGAAGAAGCAGCTAATATACTTGTTAGCGGTGGCCTCGTTTTGTTATCTATAGGAAAGGTAAAATTATCAGAATAGTTGTTCAAAGTTCAAAGAGACCTTGAGAAATAGATTATTGGAAAGTTGAAATAGATACTACGTATAAACTAGCTACAAAATATCGTACAATCATAGGTATCCAATAACAAATAAGAAGCTAAATTGAGGAGCTTCAGGCTTTTGGTCTGCGGTTGAGGAGAAGGCCCTTGGGTTAACTTAGGTTCAGAGGATTGGGCTTGCCACAAAGATTGGGGATGGTTGGCAAAGAAGACCCTTGGTCTTCCAAAGGGAAGCATCCCTTGAGCAAAAAATAGGTCCTGAGTCCTGTCAGACACTTGGGCTCACGTGTTGGTCAATGTCTGAACCATTCCCATGAAAAATGCGGAGAAGCCTACCCACCTTTAAACAGTTCATTATCTTAGAAACTGTATACATAACACCCCAGGTTGTGTAGGAGGTTACATTTTTATTAATATCATTAGCAAACAACTCATTACTATCGAAGATCCATCACTGCATTTGTATTTTTGGGTAAAAAGCATTTTTTTGTCTCGTAAATAGGGATGGACAAAGTAGACTAATTGAAATTTTTCGGCAATTTAGGCCTATTTCTTTAAAAATGTCTACAATTTAGTTTGGATTCAAGAAGCCAACAAAAATTGCAAAGTTCGTGAGCAAGCACATTTCAAATTAGTGAAACAATGATTTGATAAAGACATGTCAAATTTATTAAAATTAATTAATGGTAAAAATGTATCTTAAGAATAAACAAAGACCATCTGTGAATCAATAAAAAAATCTTTGTCGTACATTAAACTTGATAAAATTGACAATTTGACATGTCACCATCAATTACGTGGAACTCTGATTTGAACATTACATTCCATAAATTTGCAATTCTTCAAGGGGTTCAGGGCAGAACTGTTGATGTTTTAAAAGCAATGGGTCAAACGGTACACAGCTAAAGAGGGTCTCTACAAGATCAGTTTTACAAAAACTTATAGTTATGGACTAAAGATGCTTTTTAGTTTTAAGTTTGCTTGTGTGTGTCAGTGGGGAAAAACTTGATTTGGACAGAGAAACTGATAACTTTGGGAATCACACATATCAAGGATAAATAAAATCAATCTTTGTTTCAATACCTTCAACAAGGCCAGGAGTATCAGTGTCTGGAGGAAATATCAGGGAGACATGAATGTTATCTGAAACAACCTCCTGCTGCAATGCTTCTGCCATACCCCTAAGACCAAATTTAGTAGCACAGTAGGCTGTATAACCATATATCCCAACCTAAACGAGACCATCCAAATTGAGAATCAGTCATAAAGGACAACACCACAAACAAGTTTCTTTAAAGAATAATAAGAAACATGAATGATAAATAAATTATGCACTTTCACTGGGTACTGTCTTCACACCCGATCTTATATTTATTGCAACTTTTGGAGGAAAAATGGTCCATACATCAATATATTAAGTAATAGACAATTTTGATAGTTCGATATTATAATACTCCATAATTGTTTTAGGGAAAAACATATCGGGAATAAGAACTCCAACATCCCAACATCAGTTTGATCGTACATTTCACATTTCAAAGAGTCCTAACACTAAACATAGATCCAAATGACTAGCTTGTTCATACATTTCACATTTCAAAGACTTCCAATCTACAACACATTCATTTAAGTCTAATGAGATAACGGTGTAACGCTAAGAAGCTCTCCCAGGTATTCCAAATGAAATTCCAAAGCCAATGTAGAGTGCTATTAGTACAAAGTATATAAGAAGAAGAAAGGCACACCCTACATCCCTAAAAGACACGCCTTTATACCAGGCACAGATACTTACAGAAAAGTGTGGTTGAAATTAATTTAGAGTAGATATAATTAATATGAACCACATCAGGCTCTCCTTAAAAGGAAAAGTAAGAAATTATTGTAGGACGTAACAGAAAAAATGTGTGGATTTATTTAGGGAGCGAGAGAATATATATTTAAAGTCCCCTAAAGCTAATAAAAAAGTTTTGAAAATTCCCAATTGAGACTTCGAAACTCTAAGCTCATACCCCATCTGGTAGAGGGATGTCAGTGTTTCAAACATACTAAACTCCCATTGAATGGATCTTTTAATCTTGAGAGCATATGAAACTCTGAAGGTACGCAATTGGGAATGCAGTACTGGAAGTGTAGAGCAACAACTAATTAGGAACACAAAAGGTGTGCAAAATAATCCATAAAAGATGGAGAATATACAAGGCCAATGGTAATATACAGACCCAAAACAAATAGACTGTCTTGTTTAGTTAACAGTTGAAAGGTACCGATTATTAATCAATTTACAGATTCTAAATCAGATTAAAAGCCAAAATCTCAAGCCTGTGCCCTAACTTTGAGCTAGGATGAACCCTGAAAGGAAATGACCAACAAAATTACCTGTCCGGCCTGGGATGACATAATCGCAATTGACCCAGGTCCACGATTTCTCCTGTTCTTCATTCCCGGCAATGCCGCTTTGATCAAATTAAAAGTCCCCGTCAAATTCACATCGATCGTGAGCTTTACTTCATCCAGATCCTGAGTCTCCAGCTCCTGCGCCATAAAAACCCCCTGATTACAGACCAGAACATCGACAGGGCCGGCCTCTTCTGCGGCCCTCTTCAAGGCGTCGTAATCTCTGACATCGGCGCTAAATATTGCGACGTCGCATCCGGTGGCGAGCCGGATCGCGCGCTTGGCGTTCTCCAGCTTCTCGGCACTCCGAGCTAGTATCGAGACCTTGGCACCTTCTAAAGCCGCGAGGTGAGCTACGGCCAAGCCGATGCCACTGGAGCCGCCGGTGATGAATACGTGGCGGTTCTTGATTGGGACTTTCACAGGGCGAGGCCGGACGATCAGGTACAGGAAGGTGGCGAGGGAGAGCGGTGCGAGAAGAAAAAGAGATAGCAGCGATAAACTTGAACCCGCCATAGAGGAGAGTGCTACGCTTCCTAGAACTTGTAGAAGTGAGGAGGGAAAGATGAAAAAGAGACAGTCTTGAATCAGCCATGGCCGAGAGTAGCAGTGTAGTACTTGTACTTGAATCAGCCATTCCTGTCTTGAATGAGATTAGACATCTTCAATGCCACTGTGAGTCTGTGATGCACATGTGGTGCCACAACTTCCACCATGGAAGAAAGTCGGATGCACGTGTTACATCAGATGCTCCGTATAAGATAGAGCATTTGATCCTACTCAATTTTAAGATAGAGCATTTGATCCTACTCAATTTTAAGATAGAGCATTTGATCCTACTCAATTTTATGGCTTAGGGGGTGTTTGGATGTGATTCTTAAAAACTGCTCCTTCAGGGAGCAGAAGCAGAAGCTGGAGTGTTTGAGTGAAATTCCAGAAGTACTTCTGGTGCTCTAATTTAGTCTCAGAATCAGTTTTTTTAGAAGTTGGGGGGTACCAGCTTCTGAAAACTGATTCTGATTCTGCTTCTGCTTTAAAAAAGAAGCAGAAGCAGAATCAGTTCCAAACACCCCCTTAGTCACTTACTCACTTCCACGAAAATCTCAAATAATCTATAAATAAAAAAAATCTCCTCAATCATGATCTTAGGGGTGTATTGAATATGGATTGTGGTGGACTTTTTTTTATCCATGAACTTCTAAAAAAGTCAGTGGACTTTTAAATCCATAGACTTTTAATCTGCCGACTTTTAAATCCATAGACTTTTAAATCTGCGGACTTTTAAAATGAATGACTTTTCAATGAATGACTTCTATGGATTTCATTGAAATCCATAGACTTTTACTTGAACTTATTTCAGACCAAATCCAACTAGACCAGACTTTAACAAAGCAAACCAGACTTAAATAAATAAGAATCACTACACAGAAAATATGACAAATATAATAGCTAATGTTCTCTATTCCGAATGAGGTCAAACATAACCATTAAAAAATATAAGAAAAAAATAATGTCATCAATGCACACAATGCACAATATGGGAACAAACGTCTTGTGCTACTGAACTATGGATCAAAATTATTCATTTTCTGCAGCTGCCCACATTTGATTAGCAAGATTCATCCTCCATTCATTGACCTTTTCCCTCTGTTGATCTTGTGTCTGAAAATTATCCCATTCAAGATTGTCCTCATCATCGCTAGGTGGGTCTTCTTCTGGGTCCGGAGGAAATTCGTCAGATCGACATTCACGTCGAAGAAAATTATGTACTCCTGCACATGCCAAAACTAATTCTGCTTGTGTTTTATAAGAGAAAGGAGGTGTTGTTTTGAAGATTGTGAAGCGTGACTTGAATATTCCAAATATCCGTTCAATCACATTTCTTAAAGAAGCATGACGAAGATTGAATAGTTCAACCGCATTCACAGGGTGATTTCCTTCACCACCAAAATCCTTTAGATGATACCGAGTACCTCGAAATGGAGCTAAAAATTGACACCGATTTGCAAATCCGCAATCCCCCAAGTAATATTTTCCTAGGCATTGAATCATTACACAATTAGTCTATTATACAATGCAATAAGTAATTGGTAAAAGAGATTTGGATAAACATGTTAAAGTGTACCTGGTGGCACTTTAAGACCATTTGGTCTTGAAATTGCATCATTTAACACTTTTGAATCATGGGCAGAACCCTCCCAACCGCTAAGCACATATATGAATTGCAAATCAAAGTTGCAAGCTGTCACGCCCCGGACCTCCCCGGACACGTCAACAACCCGCCGTACAATACGAATAGTCAACCGCAGTCCAACACATTCATATTATACAAGGCGTCATGAATATCATTCACACATATAACATCCATAAACAAACATAATAAGTAATTCATTACGCAGCGGAAAACATAGTTTGAAATCAGATGCCACACAGGGCAAACATGAGCACGCAGGCTCTAAAGTAAAATATCCATGAGCATGTTTATTAATGTTCTAAAACAGAATGGAGGAAGCACGAACCAAGTCTTCTCCCCGGGAAATCACTCAAGCAACGAGCACAGGAAGCAAGCTCTAGCCTCAACCTGAAATGGTGGTGGGACGCCCCCGAAGGGGTCAGTACTCTATACGGCTATAAAGTACTGGTGTGGCAGGCATCTAATAGATATACAACAAGTATTTCAAACACAAGGCCCTCAAATAGGGTGATAGTACAATATGGTTGTAACCCTAAGTTACCCCGTTTGAAAATATACTTACTTTATATAAAAGTCAAGTAGTCGGCCCGTGGGCCCAAGTTTATTTAGAAATCACCATTCCCATTCCCCGTGACTATAAGCCACGACAACTCATAGAGTCCAACCCTAAACATGACATTGTATTCTAGAGCTCCGCTCTATCACATCACCATACAATTCATGTCACTCGGGTCAATTTCCTTATCTTGCATTCTAGAGCACGACTCTATCACATCACCATGCAATCCTTAGATCTCCAACCCCAATACATGACATTGTATTCTAGAGCTCCGCTCTATCACATCACCATACAATTCATGTCACTTGGGTCAATTTCCTCACCTTGCACGAGAGTCCAATTCCTAAGCAAACCTATGCCTAGAATTGACATATCGGTTAACTACTTTGGGTCATCCTTAAGGACTGCCCATAATATAACCTTAGCTTCATACGAAGTCATTATATACACTTGAAGTATATTCAAGTGCCTTTCATACACTCCAATCCCTAGGATCAATTCAACTAACAATTTCCAATAATCACTAACTAGTATTTCAATACTATTAAGATTATTGTCATCATACAAATATTCTCATTTTGTAATTCTCTACATATTTATAGACATGTAGCAGCAACTTAAGTGTTCAATCTCAATACATAAATATTCATTTATGTATCCACATAATTCATACATGAGTAAAATCCCTATTTCACAAAATAGTTCTTTTATAACTCTTTTAATCTCATATTATTCATACATCCTCAAATCATTTCCAATTTCATTCTTTGGAAACTATATCAATATTTTATCAATATTTAAACATCATAATCCATGAAAAATTATGCTTTAGACATTTAGGTAATCTCATGCTTAACCTACAAGTTGTAAGCAATTAGATGTCAATCCTCACCTCGATTAAGCTCCAAACTGCCCGCTATCAATCCAGCAACCAAACCTTTGTCCAAGAGTGATTGAGTATTGGTTCCTTGCCTAAAATTTGGTTCTATAAAGCCTCTTCCAAGTGTAGGTTCGTTCCCTACCAAAAGTTATGAAAATAGCCCCCTATAAAGGGTGTTTTTGGGTGAGTACAATCCATAACCTTTCAAGGTTTGTTCTAAGTTAGAATCTAACATATACATCTATAAAGTAACATTATAAAGAACATATTATACACTTGAAATAGTGTATAATGGTTCTACAAGTCGTTCTTATCATAGAGATAATGAAAATGAGGGTTTTGGGTTCAAACTCACTTTGAAGAGGTAAAATCGTTTCTGCGAGGTTGGGTTTTCTTTCGCTGATTTGAAAGCCTTCCACTACTCCGTTTGATGCAAACCAGACCTTCACGGATTCCTCGTCTTGAGAGCTATCCGCAGGTACCTCACACGCCTGATTTGGATTAGTATAACTCCAGATATGAACCAAACAAACAACTCTACCCACTGGAAAATGAACCTGCGGGCAGTCTTCTCCTTTCTCTCTTTCTTGGGTTTGTGTGGCTCTCTCCCTCCCTATTATCCTTTAGGATCCTAATGGGGGTTTGTGGGAGTGTCTAAGACCTCTCAAAAGAGTTGGATAGGCTGTGTGGAATGAAAATGAATGGGTATGGGGCTTGCTTGGCATCGTAGATCAATAACACATGGGGAGGGCCCTTGGTTTGTCTCAAAGTCAGGTGCAGCCCCCTTTTCTCCCTTATGTCCGCCCCATACCTCCCCAACTAACATATTCCTTTGTTTTGCAGGTGCTCAAGTCATGTGGGATGGTTCCCAATTGATCCCAATCCATTTGGGATCCAAAATATCTACCAATACTTCCAACAAAAAGTGGAAAGATGGGTCCTATTGTTTTATCTTTGTCATGGGATGTCTTTTTGTACTCATTCAAATTTATTTGGACCAAATCAACTTTATACATCATATTATTGATCTCTAATATGTGTAGGATAATCCCAATAATTTACTTGATGAAGGAATATAGGCGAAAACCATACTCCCATCGTTTAGCTCAATAATGTCAAAGATGGACCATAGGCATTTGTATTCTTCCCTAATCATCCTATCACTTATTTATGACACTTGTATTTATATTCTTGGGTCACAAGCCGTGTGGGTCACCCTCGAGTGGGCCTAGGACGCCATTCTTGAATACTTACTATTTTTAGCAGGTTGGGCCCAAATAACGTTTGGGCTGCCCAACCTTTCTCAACTTGTCTTGAAAGGTTACATATCAATATTTAGATGATGTCGGGCTCTTATATTTATTAAGATGGCCCAAATAAGTATTTGCGAGCCCACCACTAACATACGAGTTCAACTAGTACAATAATCAATCAAGCACTACGTAAAACATTAATCGTTTTACAATTGTTTGACAGCAGAAAATTCAATACACGAATCGTATTATTCGTTATTTTTTTTTAGAACAAAATTTTCAGGTACGACCGGGTGCGGTGTCACACAAGCAGCTAATACATTTTGAGATATAGTTCCATGACGATTTCGATAGCTGTTCACTTCTCGTCCAGGTACGATTGCTGGAATATGAGTGCCATCTATTTAGGGCTGAGCAAAACCCGATCCGACCCGAAAAACCCGATATTTTTTTCGGATATTATCCGAACCGAAGTGGATATCCGACCCGAAAAACCCGAAACCGAAAATCCGATTAGTATTGGGCCTAGATCGGGTGGCGGGTAGGGTTTGTGAAATCCCAACCCGACCCGCCCGAATATCCGAAATATATGTTAGTGTGTACTTTGAATATTTAAATTAATACTTGTGTTCAATTATTTGTATTATTATTTGTGCAATTTGTATTAAATTATTTGTGTAAATTGAATGTGTAGTGAACTAGTGTGCACAATTTTTGTTAAAGTGGCATTCCAACACTTTAACTATCCAATTATAATGTGTTTTGATATAACCAAAATATCTGAAATATAATAAATTATGTAGTGTGTACTTTGAATATATTAGATTAATACTTGTGTTCAATTATTTGTGTAATTATTTGTGCAATTTGTGTTAAATTATTTGTGTAATTTGGAAGTTTAGTGCACTAGTGCGTACAATTTTTGTCAAAGTGGCATTTAAACACTTTAATTATCCAATTATAATTTTTTTTAATATAACCGAAATATCCGAAACCCGACCCGATATCCGAAAATATCCGACTTAAAAATATCCGAAATACCCGATTCGAAATATCAAAGGGTCGGGCCTAGTATTTAAATTAAAAAACCCGAACGGGTTTAGGGTTCGCAAACCCGACCCGCCCGAACCCGACCCGTGCACACCCCTACATCTATTGCTCCAATGCAATCCTAGCATTAGGAAAAGAAGAAATACCCAAAAAATAATAATTAATCATGTCAAATTAGTGAAGTGCATTACGAAAAGAAAAAATACCAAAAAATAATAATTAATCATCAATAAAGTTTTGCATTACTCACCTTGAAATGAGGATAAAACCTTGTACTCTTAACAATTTTATTAAACCCCATTGACAAGCTCTCAATAACCTCTCCGTGACTATTAAGTTCCTTTGTTCTTCCATTGTTCTCAAAATCATTTCTACCACTTTTTCCTTTAGCTTTATTGCTTGATGAAGGTGGATCCTCTATATTTCTACCACCATCTTGTGGAAGATATGATGAGTCCTCCCGGTGGGATGATGCATTTTCACTCGGTGTGAACGTGTTAGTATTTGGATAAAAAAATAATCCATCAATGCCACCAATTCCACATGATTCATCATCTAGTCCAAGCACTGTAGCATCTGTATTTTCACCAAGACCAATTGCACCCATCCCAGTTGCAGTTCCATTCCCCACTGCGATTCTCAGATCCTCATAGTCCGGACAAGTTTCTGACCGAAGGTGTGCATGTTCTTTATGTGACCGATATATAAAAAATATAAAGTTTGTTATTATGATGTTAAAAAATAGACACACAAATGAATAAAAAATGCCCACCTTCAAGTAGTCAGCCCATACTTCTTCGGAAGCGGTGAATTTCTTTGTGGCCGCATCCCATCGAATCCAGAGTCGTGCCGCATAAGTTGAGAGTAATTGGAGTATTGTTTTTTAAACCATTTGAGTCTACTTTGGTAATGATTAAAACTAATTTTATAACCAAGTTTTTCCTTAAGTTTAGGAAGGAGTCTGGTCTCTACCATTTGTTTACTGATCACACCATTTATATCACGAAGGCCAAGTTTGGCACTTTCTGTCACGCCCCGGACCTACCGGACACGTCAACAACCCGCCGTACAGTACGAATAGTCAACCGCAGTCCAACTCATCCATACTATACTAGGCGTCATGAATATCATTCACAATAGTACATCCATAAACGATCATAATGCAAAATATTTAATCAAGCAGCGGAAACGTTAATACAAATATCCATGCCACACGTGGCGAACACGGGCGTACAAGCCCCAATAAATATTCAAATAGTATCCATGAGCAATATTTAAAATGTTTTCAAAACAGGAACGGAAGAAGCACGAACCACGTCTCCTCCCTTGAATCTCCCCGAAGCAACGGCGGCGGTAGCAACCTTCAAGTCCTACCTGAAACTGTGAGGTGGCCTCCCCCGTGAAGGGGAGGTCAGTACTTGGAAGCATTTGACAAGTACAATGACAACTATACTGAGTATAATCAAAGTTTCAATTTCCAAGACCCTCACATAGGGTGATAATATAATATAGGTCATAACCCGTGGTTACCCTCTTTGACAATATACTTACTTTATATATAAAGTCAAGTAGTCGGCCCGAAGACCCATGTTTTACTTTAAAAACGTTCAACCCTTTCCCCGTGACTTCAAGCCACGCCCATCTATATTAATTCACCATGCTAGAGGCTTCCTCTAGTCATGTTTTACCGTGCTAGAGGCTTACTCTAGTCACTAAATTCGGTGTTAGAGGCTTCCTCTAATCACCTTACATACTTTGTGCTGGAGGCTTCCTCCAGTCACATTACATTACGCTAGAGGCTTCCTCTAGTCATCCTACACGAATGCTGGAGGCTTCCTCCAGTCATTCTGAATAGTTGCTAAAGGTGTTGATTTTCTTGGTGACTGGGTCGACTAATAGGTTTGTTGATTCCTTCTTGAACATTTTCTAGATATATGATCCTTAGGATCCAGGTGTAGCAAGCTCTAGAACCCAATTGATCTGGATTATTACACCACATTTAATTAGCACATGGCATACATTTCATATTTTCATTTGTTTATTAAAGTGTAATTTTTAATAATTACGAAATAAGTACTACGTATTATTTTTGGGGGTGGGGGTGGGGGGGGTGGGGCTTTTAAGATTGTATAAACGAAAGAGGAGTTATTTAGTATTACCTATGATAAATTTTCCATATTTATATTGAAAGAATCTGGCTTGAGAGGAGTAATACTAGTAATTCAAGTCTCTATATGTAAAAATGTTAGGATTATAATTAAGTTGCCACAATCAATACAATAATGTTTTACGCCTTTAAGCCTTTACATGATTACAATAAATCGTTTAATTTGTAATTATAAAACAAAATTAGAAATGAGTGATAAATAGACAATAATGAACATGTGAAATAAAAAGAAAATTTCAAATTAATGACTGGAGGCTTCCTCCAGTCATTCTTCATCGTGCTAGAGGCTTCCTCTAGTCACGATACTAACTCACTAGCAAATTCTATGCCTAGAGTTCCTCAATCTTGAGTAGCCAATGAGGCCTACTCCTAATGTAACTTAGTGGTTACCCATTCCTACCTTAAGGCATCTCATAAGACTACTTAAGGTGCATCCTTCACAATCCAAGTCCTTAGGATTGTTCTATCACTTTTTATACAACATTCCCGATTAGTAAATTAAATACTAATCCATAAATCTTTAAACAGCCAAGCTCCTTAACTCATAGTTATAAGGCTCATTCCTATGGATTTTCTAATCCGTATACGATTCAATCTCAATATCAAAAATATCACTTTTATCCATTCATGATTTCTATACATGAAGTAAAAGTATATTTTATCACAAAAATTCATGGTTTATACAATCATTATACCTTCACATTTATTATGCATCATCATACACAATTTCTCATAAATTTGTATGTTATGCATCTTCTATTCACAAACAATGATATTTTCATTTAGGCACTATTAATCATTAATAATCCATGAAAATCACATTTAATTACTTTAGGTAATCTTATGAAATTAACCCAAAGATTATAAGCAATATAGTCAGCCATCCTCACCTTGTGATGTGCTACAATAGTTGCCTTTGCTAAGCCCCTCGATCAATCCCCGTTCTAGGCCGATTGAAGGCAAAAATCCTGGACAGTAGCCCAAAGCCGGGCGGCTTTCACCCAAAGCCGGGCGGCTTTCACCCAAAGCCGGGCGGCTTTCGTAGTCTGCAGCTACGAACAGCTTCCTTCAGGTGGCGGTTTCCGGCGATTTCAACTCCTATCGATTCCACGATTCTTCTAAGTTAATTACCACCACTTTATAACATTATTCTACACTTTTAAACGTGTAGAACTCCATGTTTAATCCACCATATGGTTTCTTAAAAACCATACAAAAATAATACTAGTTAAAGGAGATAAGTGAGTTCTTACCTTCCTTAGAGCTAGCTTTCTACTTGGATTTCTTTCTTCTTGCTTCCTTCAAGTTATGGTCTGTGGGAGAAGTGTTTTGCCA